TTAATCTTACTGAGATTGGCCCTTTGTAATACCAGGGCAAGCGCGTCCTCCGGTTCACGGCTTGTTTTAACATTTTCACCTAGTTGAGTTTTCCAGTCCTGCCTCTAAAGACTTCTGAGTTTGGGGCCATATTTAGAAATGCCTTCACTTCCCCAAGACTCTCTTCTTACCCAAGTTTTCTTCTAGCCTCTGAGCATTTCGTGTTTGGGGTCCTGGTGTAACGGACGAGGAGTTAGTCCCACTCACCACTGTGACATTCCCACATGCCCCGTGCTAACCTGGCAGCTCAGCGAGGCCTGTGTGGCAGCCTTACAAACTCAGACCTGAAGTGACCACAAGGTATGGTCTGAAATTAAGACTTTTTAACTAAAAGCAGTTTACGGTGGGTAGTCATGTCCTAGGACTGTATTTTCCCTGACAAAGGTCAATCTTGGCCTGAACTGAGCCTACATATTGCCTTTTTGCATCCATGATAACACATGGTTGGAATGTCTAAGTAATGTTTCTTTTTCCAGACCCCCCAAAGCACAGGCGGCCTCTGCAGAGTCCACAGATCCCCTCCTTGTCATTGAGTTCATTGATGCCTGTTAACTGTCCTGCACGCACTTAGTAAAAGAAAGTGTGTCTAACGTTTTACTTTTTAATCCAATCCCAGAGGTTCCCCCACTTCGCTTTCTCCCAAACCCCTAACACAGCCGTGGGCAAACTACGGCCCGTTTGAAATGAATAAAACTAAAAAAAAAAAAAAGACCGTACCCTTTTATGTAATGATGTTTACTTTGAATTTATATTAGTTCACACAAACACTCCATCCATGCTTTTGTTCCGGCCCTCCAGTCCAGTTTAAGAACCCATTGTGGCCCTCGAGTCAAAAAGTTTGCCCACCCCTAACCTATGGCCAATGGAGTTCATGTCACCCCTTCCGCCTCCTCTCTGATGTAATGAATAAAACGAGTGCAACCCGCCACTCCCGGAGCACTATCTCCATCCACTTTGACTTCCCCGCAGTTGTGGAGGGTTTGGCTCAAATAAACGCACGATGTCCTTCACCGGTGGAATGTTTCTAAGTTGACATCACGGAGCCTTTCAGCCTTCATCTGTGTGTTTGGGGGTTTTTGGTTCGGTTTTTTGTGGGGGGGGTTTACACTCACTGGTAGCGCCCTGGTGGAGCGACAGCAGCGGCCCAGCCCTGGAGGCAGAAGTGGGGACGTCTCCGCCAGAGCCCCTCTGACTCGCGTCGCGTGGGGCCACCCAGCGCCTCCAGGAAGGTTTGGGGCTCTCTGATCCTCCCCTGCCGCCCGCACCTCCCGCGCGGTCTAGTTCGCGCTTGGAATTCCCGCCACATCGCGTCCCGCGAACACCCCGGCCCGCGCCCCGCAGTGAGCCGGGTCCCAGTCTGCCACGATCTGCGACCGGCCTTCAGCCAGTGTTCT